TTAGACTGATACACTCATAGATTAAAAGATAATTATATTTATTTTATTTTATATTTTGGTGTTATATAGAGCTGTACCTGAGCAGGTCTCTCAATAGTTATGCAACACACTATTACAAATGTACCAGTAAAGATAGAAATAGATGCCATGGAAAACACTGATTCTTGTAATAAAGTTTAATATTTTTCACTTTACACTGGGTTCTAGACTCTTACCAGAATAAGTAACTCTTTTCCTGGGATCAATATGACAGAACCAGTTTCTACCTTCAAGTTTTATACTTTTAATTCAAAATGTTAAAATACCTATTTCTAGGAACAACGTGTCATACAGTGTTTGATCTCATTTCAAGATAAATGAGTTGTGAAATCTGAATCCATATCCTGGAATCTTTTAGTTTCTTCAGTAATTCCCAGTGATGCCAAACTTAAATATTTTGAAAGAAGGAAGAGTTCACAGTGCCAACATTAGAGAAATGGTTACATTGTTCTCCTTGGGTGCATATCAATCTGAGTGCCATCTTATTTAATCTTCATAGAGCATTAGACTTAGAAAATAATTATAATGAAAGACAGCATTTCTACGTAGCTGAACTATAAACCACCTAGTCTCCAGTCATAATACCTATCTCAGTTTACTTCTCTTAACTCTAAATCTGGAATTGATGATTTCATGGAAAGATAAATTCCTAACGAAGTGAATTCATACAAACAAGGAATAAAATGCTAGATATAGAACCTCAAAATTATATACTCTTTAGTTTTTATGTTTACCAAGCAAAAAATTTGTAGAGGAAAGAAATGCACCATTTTTACTATTTCTATATTTAAAATATTTAACATACTGCTTTGAATTATTTAGTGTCTTTTGAAATTATAGTTCTGTTTTTGGGTGGCCAGTTCATGGTAGAAGAAGAAAGTAATTATAGTAACATATTTGAATAGCACCATCTCCTTTTTAAAAAAGTTGCCTTGACCTATACAGGTGTATCTGAAAGCTGATTAGAGCTTTTAGTAAGGAACATTGGGAAGAATGTTGAGAGAGTGAAGCAGAGTGATATAAATGATGTTTCTAAAGCTAATTAATCAATTAAATGAAGGCAATTGGGGAGAAAATACACTGAGGGATGATGGTAGAAATTCTGCAACAGGAGGCTAGCCATTCCTGAAATGATGGCCCCCAAATTTGTAAGACAATTCCACCAGTAAACTTACAGGAGGAAAATGGCACTAGAAACATTACTAGGACACCATTTCTATGTGCCACGGCTCACTGCCATTATCTGAGCCACTTGCAAACAATGTCTAACTTGTGCCCAGAACATCCCACCCACGACAAAGGCCCACTTGACCCCTGGGGATTCAGAAAATGAAGGGCACACCCTGTGAAAACCTGCTTATGGACATTACCAAGTTGCCTGGTGGGGGCGGGGGCTGTTGGTACATGCTGGTATTCAAATGCATTTTTTCTGGATGGGTGGAGGCTTTTTTTTACCTATACAGAGAAAGCACCAGAAACGACTAAAGTACTGTTAAAAGACATCATCCCCAGATTTGGACTGACTCTAAGGTCAGACAACAGACCGGCGTTTGCAGCCGAGATAGTCCAGGAACTAACTGGAAAAATAAAAATTATTATTTTAATTTTTTTAAATAAAAAAATTATTTTAAAATAGAAACATGCATACATTAAGCTTTAAAACAATCAACTCATCCCGGGGATGCAAGGCTGGTTCAACATACGCAAGTCTATCAACGTAATTCACCACATAAACAGATCCAAAAACAAAAACCACATGATTATCTCAATTGATGCAGAGAAGGCATTTGACAAAATTCAACAGCCCTTTGTGCTAAAAACTCTCAATAAACTCGGTATCGATGGAATGTATCTCAAAGTAATAAAAGCTGTTTATGACAAACTAACAGCCAATATCATACTGAATGGGCAAAAACTGGAAGCATTCCCTTTGAAATCTGGCACTAGACAAGGATGCCCTCTTTCACCACTCCTATTCAATATAGTACTGGAAGTTCTAGCCATAGCAATCAGGCAAGAAAAAGAAATAAAGGGTATTCAAATAGGAAAGGTGGAAGCCAAATTGTCTCTATTTGCAGACGACATGATAGTATACCTAGAAGATCCCATCGCCTCAGCCCAAAAACTCCTGAAACTGATAAGCAGCTTCAGCAAAGTCTCAGGATATAAAATCAATGTGCAAAAATCACAAGCATTCGTCTACACCAATAACAGACTTAAAGCCAAATCAAGAACGAACTGCCATTCACAATTGCTACAAAAAGAATAAAATACCTTGAAATACAACTCACAAGGAACGTAAGGGGCCTCTTCAAGGAGAACTACAAACCACTGCCCAATGAAATCAGAGAGGACACAAACAGATGGAGAAATATTCCATGTTCATGGTTAGGAAGAATTAATATTGTGAAAATGGCTATACTGCCAAAAGTAATTTACAGAATCAACGCTATCCCCATCAAGCTACCATTGACTTTCTTCACAGAACTGGAAAAAACCACCATGAACTTCATATGGAACCAAAAGAGAGCCCGCATAGCCAAGTCAATTCTAAGCAAAAAGAACACAGCGGGGGGCATCACACTACCGGATTTCAAACTATACTACAAGGCTACAGTAATCAAAACAGCATGGTACTGGTACCAAAACAGAGATATAGACCAATGGAACAAAACAGAGACACCGGAGGCAACACAACATATCTACAACCATACAATCTTTGATAAGCCTTACAAAAACCAGCAATGGGAAAAGGATTCCCTGTTTAGCAAATGGTGTTGGGGAAACTGGCTAGCCATGTGCAGAAAACCGAAACTGGACCCCTTCCTGACACCTTACACTAAAATTAACTCCAGATGGATTAAAGACTTAAACATAAGACCTGGCACGATAAAAACCCTAGAAGGAAATCTAGGCCAAACTATCCAGGACATAGGAGTAGGCAAGGACTTCATGAACAAAACACCAAAAGCATTGGCAACAAAAGCCAAAATAGACAAATGGGACCTAATGAAACTCCACAGCTTCTGCACGGCAAAAGAAACAGTCACTAGAGTGAATCGGCAACCAACAGAATGGGAAAAATTTTTTGCAGTTTACCCATCTGACAAAAGGTTGATATCCAGAATTTACAAAGAACTCAAACAGATTTACAGGGAAAAAACAAACAAGCCCATTCAAAAGTGGGCAAAGGATATGAACAGACACTTTACGAAAGAAGACATATATGAGGCCAACAATCATATGAAAAAAAGCTCATCGTCACTGGTCATCAGAGAGATGCAAATCAAAACCACACTGAGATACCATCTCACGCCAGTTAGAATGGCGATCATTAAAAAATCTGGACACAACAGATGCTGGAGAGGATGTGGAGAAAAAGGAACACTTTTACACTGTTGGTGGGAGTGTAAATTAGTTCAACCATTGTGGAAGACAGTGTGGCGATTCCTCAAGGCCTTAGAAATAGAAATTCCATTTGATCCAGCAATCCCATTACTGGGTATATATCCAAAAGACTATAAATCGTTCTACTATAAGGACACATGTACACGAATTTTCATTGCAGCACTGTTTACAATAGCAAAGACCTGGAATCAACCCAAATGCCCATTGATAATAGACTGGATTGGAAAAATGTGGCACATATACACCATGGAATATTATGCAGCAATCAGAAATGATGAGTTTGTGTCATTTGTAGGGACATGGATGAATCTGGAGAACATCATCCTCAGCAAACTGACACAAGAACAGAAAATGAAACACTGCATATTCTCACTCATAGGCGGGTGATGATAAATGAGAACACATGGACACAGAAAGGGGAGTACTAAACACTGGGGTCTATTGGGGGGAAAAGGGGAGGGCCAGTGGGAGGGGGAGGTGGGGAGGGATAGCCTGGGGAGAAATGCCAAATATGGGTGAAGGGGAGAAGCAAAGCAAAGCACACTGCCATATGCGCACCTACGCAACTGTCTTGCATGCTCTGCTCATGTACCCCAAAACCTAAAATCCAATAAAAAATAAAAAAATAAATAAAACAATCAACTCTCAAACAAAAGAAGAAAGAGCCTTTTATCCCAGAGTCCACAAGGAATGAATTCCATACGTGTCTGAAAGTCACATTGGGTGCACATAAAAACCAGAAATGGAAATCAGACAGCCCCCCCTGCCTGTGAGGGCTCCCGCACCTGCCAGCGTGAGGACACGGCTGACCCCCACTGGACACTCACGTGCCGGGAGCCACCACAGCTCAGGGTGACTGGCAGTGCCCAGTTCGGTGACCAAGACAGATGTACGTTTACACATGGCAGGGGGCGAGGGGGCATCATAAGCACATCCAGCTCCAAATCTGATGGTGTGAAGGGAACTTGGGAGGGGTGTGAGCAACGTCCAAAGGGATTTCACAACACAGAAGATGCAATGTCTAGGAATTCCACGAAACAGAAATAATAACACAGCTGTTAAAAACAAAATGGAAATTACAAAACAGCCTACCAAACACAGAGTTTGAGAAAAGTGGAAAACATGAACCAGATACTCAAACAGCCACTAAAGAATTACTGCCAGGAAACCCATCTGAGATAAGAACAAGTTCTGCCCATTGTCAGGTATAAGTAAAGTGCACCCCCACCAAACCAAATATTCACCCTATGAAATCTTCTTCTGCCAGCCACCCCTAATCAGAGGTCAAATTAAAGGTAATCTCCATGAAATAAAATAATTGGCCTTGAGAAGGCAAATGCAGGCTTTAAGGATAGCTATGCAAGATGTCCATGGCTATGCAAGATGTCCATGGCTGGGTACAGGAAAAAATGCCTATAAGCCTCACAGACCCAAAAAGCCTTTAAACCCAAAGACTTTATTTAGGTCAAGAAATTGAGTCTAGCCACTCTAAGACCCACATAAGGTAGGCCCCATACTGTAATCTTGTCTACCTATCCCCACTCCTGTTAAAGTTACAGGAATTGTGCCTTGGATCCACCACAGTTGGCTAAAACTGGCGATCTAAGACAAGTTGACCAGCTAACAAGACCCGGACCACCCGAGCCTGCTCATCCTATGACAGGATCCAGTTGCCATCATGGACAACAACAGTCCTGCTCTGATTCCCACAACAGTTGCAGGACTGTAATTTTGTTTAAAGTAAGTTTGTTTGTTTTACTCTACTGCTTAATCCAAAGCATGTCTCCATAATTAAAATTTTATATGTCTAATGAGCAGAATACTCAAATCAATAACTTAAAAATTTATAGATTAAAAAGAGAAACTCGGGGGTCTATGCTTTTTCAAAACATAGACATTTTTGCTCAGCCAAAAGGTAAGTTTTAAGATAAGACTATAGGCCATGATTTTTCACGTCACAGGGGTGTGTTGTAGAGATTATTTTATCACCCAGGTATTAAGCCTAGCACCCATTAGTTATTTTTCTGACCCTCTCTCTCCTCCCATCCTGTTAGTTCCCAATTGTAATGAAATATTTGGTTTTCTGTTCCTGTGTCAGCTTGCTAATGATAATGGCCTCCAGCTCCATCCATATTCCTGCGAAGAATATGATTCCATCCTTTCGTATGGTTGCATAGTATTCCATGCTGTGTATGTGTCACATCTTTATCTACTGATGGGTATTTAGGTTGATTCCATGTCTGTGCTATATAAATAGTGCAGAAATTAACATACACATGCATGTATCTTTATGATAGAATGATTTATATTTCTTTGGGTATATACACAGCAATGATATTGCAGGGTTGAAAAGTGGTTCTGTTTTTATGTCTTTGGAAAATCAGTACACCGCTTTTTCACTATGATTGAACTAATTTTCACTCACACCAGTGTATAAATGTTCCTGTTTGCTCCACAATCTCACCAGCATCTGTTACTTTTTGACTTTTTAATAATGGCCAATCTGACTGGTGTGAGATGGTATCTTATGGTTTTGATTTGCATGTTTCCAATACTCAGTGATATTAACATTTTTTCATATTCTTGTTTGGCCACATGTATATTTTCTCTTGAAAAGTGTCTGTTCATGTGATTTGCCTACTTTTTAACTAGGTTGTTTGAGTTTTTTCTTATAAATTTACTTATGTTCTTTGTAGATGTTGGAAATTAGAACTTTGTCAGATGCACAGTTTGCAAACATTTTCTTCCATTCTGTATGTTGTCTGTTTACTCTGTTGATGGTTTCTTTTGCTGTGCAGAAGCTCTTTAGTCTAATTAGGTCCCATTTGTCAATTTTTGCTTTTGTTGCAATTGCTTTTGGAGTCTTTTTTATCAAATCTTTACCCATTCCTATGTCCAGAATGGTTTTGCCTAGTGTTCTACCCAATATTTTTATCATTTTGGGTTTTTCATTTAGGTCTTTAATTCATCTTGAGTTGATTTTTGTTTATGGTGTGTGATGTTTACTACTGAGTGACAACTTGATTGAAGAATGCAAAATATTGTTCCCAGGTGTGTCTGTGAAGGTTAAAAAGATTAACAGTTGAGTGAATGGACTAAGAAGGACCCACTCTCAGTCTGGGTGGGCATGACTTAACTGGCTGCCACTGCAGACAGAATAAAGGGGGCAGAAGAAGATGGAAGCAGCTGACTTGCTGATGCTTCCAGCCTTCATCTTTCTCCCATACTGGATGCTTCGTGTTCTTGAACATCAGACTCGAAGTTCTTCAGCTTTTGGGTGCTTGGACTTACACCAGTGTTTTGCCAGAGACTCTCAGGCCTTCCATGACAGACAGAAGACTGCACTGTCAGCTTCCTTATTTAAGAAGTTTTTATACTCAGACGAGCTTCCTTGCTCTTCAGCTTGTGTATGATATATTGTGGGACTTCACCTCATGATTGCATGAGGCAGTACTCCTTAATAAATTCCTCTTTTTATATACATCTATCCTATTAGTTTTGCATTTCTAGAGAACCCTGACTAATACATGAAGTAAGGAAGAGGTCCAGTTTCAATTCTCTTTATAGCTAGTCAGTTACCCCAGGACCATATATTGAATAAGGAGTCCTTACGTCAATGCTTGTTTTTGTCAGCTTTGTCAAAGATCAGATGGTCATAGGTGTGCAGCCTTATTTCTGGGCTCTCTATTCTGTTCCATGGGTCTACATGTCTGTTTTAGTACTAGCACCATGCTGTTTTGGTTAACATCGCCCAGTAGTGCAGTTTAAATTTGAGTAGTATGAAGTCTCTTGCTTTATTCTTTTTGCTTAGAATGGCTTTGGCTATTCAGGCTCTTTTATTAGTTCCATATAAATTTTAAATAGTTTTGTGAAGAATGTCATTGGGAGTTTGGTAAGATTAACCTTGAATCTGTAAACTGCTTTGAGCATTATAGCCATTTTAACAATATTGATTCTCCTATCCATGAGCATGGAATGGTTTTTCATTCATTTGGAGTCACTGGCTTTCAATGACTATCAGAAAAGTTTGCTTTTAATTTCAACATTTTTTCATCGGTTGATTGTGTAATAGTACTATATTGATCAAATGTTTAAAAAACATTCCAAACCTGAAACATCAAATTATACAAGCTACAGGAGAAATTTTACCTGATTATTTCTACATAGCTGGTCTTGCCCACTGGAAATTTAAAACTAGTAAGGGCAATAAAACACATTCATGAATTAAAGTAATACCTTGCAGATGCTATGGGAATTGCAGATAAATTAAGTAAAGATTCCTAGGAAGGGTTATGTTTTTTTCAGAAACCAGCAAGGATGAGTTCATGAAAAAAAATACACTGGAGATGGATTTTAATGTTGGGGTGGGATTTACACAGGTAAATTAAGTTTTAGGGACAAAACACTACCTATCACACAGCTATAAAGATATAGACAGAAGTAGGAAAGGAAGAACTAAAGAAAACAACAATAATACAAATGATGATTGTCATTTATTTAGTACCTACCGTTTGCCAGAAATTAAGCTGAGATTTTACACATACTATATTTAATATTCCTACAGGAAGAGTACTAGGAAGAGTACTGTTATATTTATAAAAATGTAAAAAATTGAGGCGAGGTTCATAATTTCAGAGACATCAGCAACTATAATAAGGAAAATTCCGAATTTATGTTTACATCTGCCTGACTCTAAGATTTGTGGTATTTTTAGTGTGCTCACACTGTTCAGGCCAATAAAGCAAAGTCTATAACAGGGAGTGCTTAGCCATGTTCAGTGTTACTGAGACGTTGAATAAGGGAACTGAGAACTGACCTTTGGCTATGGCCACAAGAAGATCACTACTGGCATTGAAAGGAACAGTTTTAAAGTTTTTTTGAGGCTGAATTTCTAACTACAGTGGATTACAGAGAGAATGTGATGTGAGAAAGTAGAGACACTGATGGTGGACAAATCTTTAGATAATTCGACTGTGTAGAGGAGGATAAAAAGTGATTTTCGATTTATTCTTCACAGTTCTTAGCTAGAAGAAAACAGATTAGTAAGGGAAAACAAACAGAGATATATCATGTAGATCTCATGTACACATGGGAAATACTCAGGGAAAAGGAACAAATCTCAACAAGGTGACCAAGAACCCTGACTATTATATAGCATCTTCAACTCAAAGAAAGAAAGAAGGGTGTTGGGGAGACAGGATCTAGGAAATTTATGGTAGATAAAAGTTAGTGAAGTTGGTTACATAGATTTCTCTGGTACCATATCCAGTTTATAAGAGTCTAAATCTCTAGTGATCAGTCTCTGTTTTTTTTTTGGTAGAGAGAAAGTGGAGGGACACCTTTTAAATGTATGTCCTGCTTTTAGGTTAATAGAGTGTGGTGACCAACAGGGAACTTCCTTTTTTTAAGGTTCTCTGAAAAATCAGCTTGCAAAAGGCAGATTAATGTGAGAAAAGTTTCTCATATAAATGAGAAAAGGCATAAAAGTTTTTAAACGTGTACAAAGAAGACTTTAGAATGAAGACCCAGAGATACAGGGGAAATTGTTCATTTCTATGCTGAGGTTCAAAAAAGTATAGACAGCCTCGTAGAAATATCAGTGGTCAAGGAAATTTGCAGTGAAACAATGTCAGTCAGATAATTTCTTTATGACTGGTTTTTACACAGGTAGGGAAAGTAAGAGTAATATTTTTAGGTTTTATCACTGGCTTTAGGGAAAAAGGGTTCTGGTTTATATAACTCTACTCAATAAAGAGGAACTCTGGTTTTTAATGGATAGCCTTGGCAGAGAATGGGAGTGAGATACAGGAGGATTGAAAAAGTTTAAAGACAAACTTTTGCTTCTGAGGCCTTTTTTTGGGGACACAAAGTGAGTCCCAACAGAGAAGAGGTAGAGAACTTTTCTTGCAGCTGCTTCTGAATTGCCTTCAGCTCAAAATAATTTTTAAGCCAAAGTGGCACATTCTGCTGTTTTCAAGTTATCAAAAAAATAGGCAAGTAAGGCAATAACTGGACAATGATTTGGGGTCAAGGAAGTTTTTTGGTTTTGTATTTTGTTTGTTGGTAAACATGATCTAATAGAGAGAAAGAAGATGTGATATAAAAAGAGGGACCATTATAGGATATAAGCCCTCAAGAGGTGGCACTGCCTGGGAACCAGAGAAAGAAAGGGCTGTCTGGAACCAGTGGGAGGGCAAGAGTGGTGATAACTTATAGTGACGGAAGGAGGAGAAGACCTTGGTACAGATCCAGGCAGGCTGTTTGTTTTGGATCTGGGAAAAAAGAAAGGCATTCTCTTATTTTTTTGTTGTCAATAAAATAGGAAGCAAGATTGTCAGCTGAAAAGTAGGGCAAGGGGACATAATGAAGAACTTGGTAGTTAGTTGTACTGAATCTATTGCATTCTTTTTCTGAAAATTACATCATGAAGTCTCAGGCTGCTTGATTTATGGAGGAAGCAAAGCACACCTGGAACAGAGGAAAAAACCTAAGTCAGTAGTACTGAAATAAGAAAATTTCCAAATAAGAAAATGATAAATAGATGCCAAAGTATATAAAGCATTGTAGATACTGACAGTAAAGCATCGATACAGCAATAGGCAGGAGGAGTGGAACCTGCTGACCATGGGAGAGTAATGCGACAATGTCGCACACCTGTGACCAGCAGTGCGATTCTCAATCTTGTGTTTCCGTATATGAAACATAGATATGTTCCATACCTGAAACATTTGTTGCTTTAAGTGACAAGTTCTGCAATGGCCTTGGAGAAGCGGATGGGAGGTAAAGCAGCACAGGTAGGGGGTTTTTAGTGATACCTGAGAAAATGTACATTTATCCAAATGAAGCCACAAAATAAGGAAATTCAAAGAAATTTCCTTATTTTTAGCTATGGAATAAATATTTGATGAACTATCAGGTTAAAAGAATTTGAGTACAAGTGTGTATTTGTCATCTATTTCAGGTGGCATTCTTTAAATATGTCACTAGTTAGGTATTTGCTTATTTTTTATCCATTCATACATTTAAAAAATTATATTACACAATATGTGTTGTATAAAATTAGTTTATGTATAACAGTCACTTATATAGATACTACAATGTGTGTGGTGCAAACAGCTTTACATACATTAACTCATTTAATGGAAACAACAACTCTTTGACATATATACTGTTATTATACCCATTTTATAGATAAGGGAATTGAAGCAAGAGTCCTGCAAGGATTTCATCCTTAGCAACAGGTGAAGCTAAGGCTATACATGCAGACTGACTCCAGCTACTCTTACGCTCTACCATAGTGTTTTATTTTCTAATTACAGACATTGAGTGCAATAAATACATTAAATTAATAAAACTAGAGAACAAACTAGATATAAGTAGAGAAAAATTATTTTACCAGGACACAAGTGCAAGAACCACTAAATGAATTTCTAAGTTTTTTAGTGTTTGAGGTAAAAATAGAAACATAATTTGTAAATCTGCAGATTTGGTATAACTCCTGCTTATAGATAAATTACAATGGGTAGCAGTCTCCAATGACAAATTGTGAGTGTTATGGGCTGAATTGTGTCTCCTCAAATTTTGTACGTTGAAGACCTAAACCCCAATACCTAACAATGTGACTGTGTTTGAAGATGGGTCCTGTAAAGATATGATTAGGTTATGAGGCCCTTAGGATGGGCCCATATTAAGCCATTAAAATGATCTCTTATGGGTTCTTACAAAAAGAGAAAATCTGGACACAGAGAAAGACACCAGGGATATGCACAGAGAGGAAATGTCGTGTGGAATGAGCACAACTAAAAGGCAGTCATCTGCAAGCCAAGGAGAGACTCCAGGAGAAACCAAACCTGACAATAAGGTCTTGGACTTTGAGTCTCTAGAACTTTGATATTATAAATTCCCTGTGTTTAAGACACCCAGTGTTTGGTATTTGGTTATGGCAGCTGGAGCAAACCAGTACAATGGGGCTTGTATTTTGCAACAAAACAGTTTAAACGGACCTCAGGACAGAAGCAGAAATTTTGACCCAGATTATTTATCAGTGGAGTATGAATGAAGAAAGCTTTAGGCCACGTTATAACTCCTGTAGAACCAGATAACCTCACCCGCTATCCAAGAGCAATAGCTGAAATCCAATGGTAATTATATTAATTAAACTCTAAGTACTGGCCATTTCTCCTGCACACTTCATGGAAATGGAGGGGGGAGCAAAAGACGCTTTCACAATAAAGGATGATCCTTTATCACATGATTTTCTTTGCCAAAAAAAATTATTTTCTCCTATTTCTTTTATTTTAGCTACACATTTTTGTAAAAGCTACTTGCAGAAACATGTTCTGAAAACTGACATTTTCAAGCAGGTCCAGGCACTGCGCAGGGCACCAAGACAACCCTCTCAGCATGTTGACCTCTGCCTTTTCCTGAGCCAAGTTCTGATCACAGCAGGAAATTTGAACTCATTATGAAACATAATTCAGCTTTTAGAACTGAGTACCATATGTCTTCCTTGGTGATAAGGTTGGCATTTGCATCCATTGAAAATACATAAGTCATTTTTGTGCTAATGCTCAAGGGAAGAACCTGCTGCTGACTTAAACCCAAGCATTGACAGATAGCAGCCCTGGGATCTGCAGGTTTTCACATCAGCACATCTTTCACAAGGTGCAACAGTAAAGCAGTCATGCCTTTGAATTTTGAAACAGAAAATAGATACAGAGGCAAAAGGAAGTTACGATTTTTGCTTTCCCTTCTTTGTCTCTATAGCTTACACTGCTCATTGACTTTCCTCTCATGCAGGTTTTAGTTGTTTCTTTTTTACAGGCAATTAGTTTCTCGATAGAAAATTTTAATAGTCTGTGCTCTGTTTTAATTAAAAAATGTGAATATTACCTTGCATCAGCATAGAGTTGAGAAAAATTATTTTACTGAGGTTTCTTATTGTTCACTACATTCTATTAGTGATCAATTATGACCTTTGAGTAATATTTTGTAGCAGAACCAGAATAAAAAATATGCAGAAATAACAATTTACATTATTCTCTAATATCGAGAGACTGTATTAAGAAAGAAAACTTCTCTTCCTGGGTCCATGAGGGGTGTAGTTTCAAAGGAAGGAGTTTCCCAGTGCCAGGCCTCTTTCCAAGACCCATCCGGGAGTGCAGAGTTCTTGGGTTTTCCCGGCCCAGGCTAGGTAGACAAATACAGTTGGGCTTCTTTGTCCAAAAAGCCACCGGAAAGCTCTGGGAGAAGGGGACTCTGTTGTGGACCAAGCAGAGTTCTTTGAGTTTCCCCAGCCCAGGCTAAATAGACAAATCCAGGTGGGTTTCTTTGTCCAAAAAGCCCCTGGAAAGCTCTGGGAGGAGGGGGCTCTGTTGTAGACAAAGCAGGCAATCTGGTATCAGAATTAAAGATCGATCACTCCAGAGGAAGTTTGAAAGAACTCCTCTTATTGGATGATAACATGAATGAGGAGGGAATAACTCCAGGATTAAAACTCGCTGCTCCTTACCTTTATAGATTTCTTCTTTGGATCCCCTCCCAGGACAGCGTGGGCGCTGTCTCTCCTCTTTTTTCCCTCACTCTCTGTGCCTAATAAATTGCTCTTTGCAAAACTATTTGGGTCCACAACATTTATTCCAACGGAAACCTCACTGCACCTCTGGGGCTCCTTTCCACATTCTTTGGGGTAAGAGAAGCCAAGGACCTCAGATCAGGGAACTAGAAAAGTATTTGGGAGGCCCCTGCTTCCTCCCCCAGTTACAATATGCGGTTGATAAACAAAAACCTCTAAGATGTAATAATGACTGTTAACTTACACTCATTTTCTGATTTATTTTTAAACCTTAAATGTTTTTAAGTTCTTGCTTTGTTATTTATGTGACGTTAGTCAAACCATCTTAAATCACCACAATTACTTAATAATGTCTATCATTCTACAAACAGTGGACATAATGTTATTTAATTATTTCATGGCCAAATATTCATCTTGAATCTTTGGAAAAATGTGGGGTTGGTTAACATTCCACTAGAGAACAAGAAGAGGAAGAAAGATTTAATAAAACTTGATTCATTGTCTTTATGTTAATTGTGTATTTGAATACCTAAGACTTCTCTTTAAATCACTGAAGTAATACTAAACAATTTAGCTTTTAACTGGTTATTTTGCTACATTCTTGCAATGCAACCAGGATGAAGATATTACAGAGGTTAAAAACATAAGCAGTGTTGGGGATGCGTGGCAAAAGCAATGCTCAGGCAGTTAAGAGGCCCTGGCTTTTTGCCTTGCCTCTGCCCCTGATTTTCTGAGTGATCTGTCACATTCACAAGATCTGTCACATTTTCCTCATCTATAAACAGCAGTAGTGAGACCTTGTCTAATATGGTTTAGAATGTGTGCCCTCTAAATCTCATCTAGATATGTAACTCCCAGTGTCAGAGGTGGGGCCGGGTCGAAGTGTTTGAATCATGGGACAGATCCCTCATGGCTTAGTGCTGTCCTCTTAATAGTGAGCTTTCGCAAGATATAGTGGTTTAAGAGTACATGGCATTTCTGTCCCCACTCTTATTTTCCTGTTGCTGCTTTTGCCATGAGATATTCTGGTTCCTGCTTGGCCTTCCACCTTGAGTAAAAGTGCCCTGCCTGAGGTTTTCCTAGAAGCTGAGCCAATGCAAGTTGGATGCTTGTACAGCAAGCAGAACTGTGAGCCAATTAAACCTCTTTTCTTTATAAATTACCCAGGTTCAGGAAATTTATAGTAATGAATAATGGCCTAACATGTTGTGTATCTAATGTTTTTATGATTAAATTAGGTGATGCCTAAAATGTAATTAGGAAATATATAAGTATAAAGTATTCTATTAGTTGGAAGCTTATCTATTGGTTAACTTGAATGGTGACTTAGTCTAAGCATGAAAAGATTCTTTTGTAAGTGTTACTCCTCAGAACTTGTATTGGATTGTGCCTGTTATATACCTTTTATTTAAATAACATTCTTACATATTTAAAAATATATCTACATAGTCTCATTTAGTTTTGTGTACATTATAGACTCCATGATATTAGGCAAGGTGTCTTGATATGATAGGTATTTGGCAGATAATAAAATGGATTTTGACTGAATGAATCACTTAACAAATTTAAGTACATTCAAGGCATTTGATGGTCAGAAAAGGAAAAGAAAATTAGATGATAAAGTATTGTAAAGTTAATACATCATTTAAAAGATGTTGAGTGATTTCCAGTAATTATATAAAGAAGAAACTGTCTCCCCTAAAATATTATTTTGCATTATTATTTCAATTAGTATAATTTTATTATCATTAAAAAATTATTTTTCTCTTGTCAAGGAGACTGGGATGAAAGTTTAGCATGCTTTATTACCCTGGATGCACTGGTGGAGGTTGACGGGCAACCACTGTGAATTAAATTTCTGGGAAATGCGACCAAACCTAGCAGCACTCAGGAGGTCAGGAAAGGCAAAGGGGTGAATATTTAAGATAATAAACATAAACCTAAAACTAAATGAATCTATTTTGATCAGGTTTAAAATTCAAAAATAGAGCTTTCCATTGAGATGTAACTGAAGACTTAGGGGATGCATCTGCCTCCTTCCCTTTCTCTTTCCCTCTCTTTCTACCTTCCTGTCTCCTTTTCCTTCATTTTTACTTTCCATCAGCTCTTGGAGTCCTTTTTATTCTTCATCTAGGTTTATAAGTGATTCTACTTTTTTGATATTCCACAGTTACTGCCTTTTTCTTTCAAATAATTTTCTCTGCTTTCGAAGATGAAACCATAGAGACTGGTCTTGTCCACTATTTCCTTTAGTAATCTTCTCACCACTAATATTACTACAATTTATCAATGCTTCACAGGCCATTTCTTTTAATTCCTGTGTTTTTTTAATACTTACATTCTTAACTAAGTATAACTAGTATCATCACTAACATAATATAGAGTTTTCCAAATAGAAAACAAAGGTAAGTAGCTATCCATGTAACAAAAGTGGCTTATCTGTTTTTTCCATGGTAAGTTAATGAGAAAATCCAGTTATGTACCGAAGAGCACACTTTGCTTGTAATATATATTTTATTTCAAGTGGGAAGGTAACTGGAGCTTTGAACATTAAAATTCTTGATAGTTAAAAAGTATTACAGATAATAACGTAAAGCTCAAACATTTTATGAGAAAACATATCAGACTCATATATACACTGATTTTCAGCCGCAGTTTCAAGATTCTCTTCTATTTTCACCATAACTATAGTATTTAGATTGTATTTCTCGATTTTATCTCTGTAACGTATTACTTACATAATTTGCATTTGAAAGAGTGGCATGGCATTACTTTTACAAAAAAAAACATAAAACATTGTAAAATATCTGCATAAAGATACCTCATAATAATTATATTGAAAGTGGCAGTTGTCTAACATTAATTTTACTATAGCTTAAAAATAAAATCTAATAGTATTTTATTCAAGCCTGATACTAGAATATTTTCTGCATATCAGATTTTTCATTTTAATTATTTTATTCTAGTTGTACTAAGCTACACTTGCTTATCTGAATTTTTATCCATTTCTTCTGCATATATGTATGAAACAGTTCTCTTATTTATTGATATATTATAATCTTAATATAATAAAATTTTTAATTAACTTCTCGTATTTGAAACCATGACTTCCAATTTTCTTGCATTATAAGATGATATATTTTCTCCAAACACAAGTATTTCTAGAAATGTAACTGTTAGAAATATCCCTACATTTTAAACCTATGGCTGAAACACGAATTATTTCCCAACTATTGTCCATGTGTACTATAGCATATAAATCAAGAATATAGATTTCTCAAAGCATATGTAAACAATCAGTAAACAGAAAATTTGTAACATAACTATATATGCTAATTGATATACTATGAGGGCTAATACTTTGAAAAGCCTTTTAAAATTAAAATATTTGAGTTAATAGTTGTGTGTGCTGATTTCTCTGAGACAATTAGTTTTACCTATGTAATTTGTATTTTCTTATGCTGACTATTAATCAAATGTAAAGCTTAGTTAATGCAAATACAAATTCACTGAGAGTGAGCAAAATAAGAATATTAACTCGGATTGTACTTCTTTGTGGCTTTGTGCAAATCACTTAAGTTATTTTACCCTTTTTGGTTGTTCAACATTTACATCACACTCTTCTGGAAGCCATGCTTTATTTCTCTAATAGCAATTGATTTCTTCTCTCTGCATTTTCACAGCCCAGTGTTTGACCATAGAACATACCATTTTTCTTCTTATGTTTCAATTTAAGTTTATTTCCCTCACTAGAGGGGAAATTCTTAGTGGTCAAGAAACAGGCCTTTTCCTGTTTTATACCTTAAAATATTTTGAATTAATGTCATTTACTTCATGACAAAAAGTTTTAAGTCCAAAACTCTGAAGGATCAGCTACATTACACTGCTTGCAACCTAAAGAGTTATCATTCTGTAGAAACTTGAGACCTCTAGTTCAGAGGAAAGAACATTTACCCATAGAACATGTTGGATAAGTATCTCATGCCAGAATCCCTGCAAGCCATGCAATGAGAGCTAAATTTGCACCACAGAAGAGGAATTTTGAAAAATAAAAGTTGGAGCTTATATAGGGCAAAGTCTTACCATTATCCGCTTGGAAAAAGAAAGAGAAACTTTGCTTTTGAATGTAGACAAATTCTCTCTAGGAAAGAAGGAAAAAGTTACTAAGTCACTATTCTGAAATGAAAACACATAGCTCTGAGAGATATATCTCTGGTCATTCAAGTGGCTCTATTTGTAGGGGTGCTATACAATCATCCTTTAATTCAAGTGCCAGTCCTTTCTTGCTCAAAACACTCTGATCATGAAGAATATTCATGGAACATTATCTCCAATCACACATAAATAAAGTGATATTTATTGCCCAAACTAGAAAGTTTTGGGGAGTGGCAGGGGTGCCATTAAAGTTTTTGCCAGAACGATATTGTGAAAGACAAAGGAAGACTGAGAAACTATTGCAGATTTTAAAAAGTGGTGCACGTGCACAGACATCATCACCCTGCCCTCACCAGTGTGCATTCATCCCACTACACCACCACCACCAGCACTCACACATGCATGGTCCCTGCCACCCCATGCCACTGGTGTGTATGTGTAGAACCAACCATGTTATTTCCATTTGCATTGTATGCATGTCCAGATCCTGCCATGTCACTGCCCTGCTGCTGCTAGCACACATGCATGAGTGCTGGAATGGTGTCCTGCTGGCACCATTTCTATGAAGTACCTTTTTGCCAGAACCCCTCATCAGAGTAATGCTTCCAGTGGATTAAGAACACCTCAGCCTCTCCAGCACAGCAGGTGCTTAACCTCAAGTGGCCAGAGAACAAAGCTATAGGCCTGGTACCAACCCCTAAGGTTAGAGCATACAGCCCAGGAGTGGTGAGATGAGCCTTGGATCCCTGAAATAACCATAAACGAAGCCACTTGTCTAAAGCCAACTCATACTACAGTTGAACCTTCAAGGACATCACATAATGTAAAAGCAAAAAACCTCATCCAAAAAACAACTTCAAAAATTAAAGGTACATCAGCCCATACAGTACCCAAAAGGTACTGATGGTAAATGACACTGAGTGATATCATATGTGGTAACCTGTGATCTCCCTACTACCTAGCATTGTGTAAGCATGTTACACACAGATTAGAAACTTTGGAATAATTAAACCAGTAGATCCACCTTGAAACAGTCCAAGAGTACCGAAGTATTTGTTATCTGCCCTTGTAGGAAATAAAAGACTTAAAGTGGTTGACTTTACAGGCACACACTCTGTTTAGCTGAAGGTGAGGCATTCCTGGAAATGGAACTTGAACAGAATTTGCAAAGTCTCCATGGAGATCCATTCCTGGCATGCTACATTAGCAATGGCTCAGCTCTTCCAGTCACTCCACATTCACTGAAGTCAGGACCTGTCACTGGCCATAATTCCAATCACACAACTGTTAGTCAAACTTCCAAGCTACAGCGATGTTTAAAAAGCCTTTCATAAAAACCAGACAACTTCCAACAGTCCTTAGTTGCATACTTATCTTTACCTGATTTCCTTAAACATTTCCTTGAAAAGGCCTCATGAATTTACTAGTATTTATTTATTAGTATTATTTTGAGATGAAGTTTCACTCTTGTTGCTGAGGCTGGAGAGTGATGGTGCAAACTAGGCTTACCACAAACTCTGCCTTCTGGGTTCAAGTGATTCTCCTGTCTCAGCCTTCCAAGTAGCTAAGACTACAGGCACGTGCCATGACACATGAGAAAGGGGCATCTCAGAGAGGAGAAAGACACAGCTGAGCTCAGAGCAAGGGGGAGGGCCGGGGGAGGGCAAGGATAAATCCACACCTGTATCACCCTCTCTCCATTCTAGTCCCTCAGCGGCAGGCAGCCCCCTTGGGCCCTAAACCCAGATTTCTGGGTGAGTCTAAGAGGTGGATGCTGCTGAGTCCTCAAGAAGAAAAGGGCCCTCAGGAAACCAAGGGGGTTCTGTCTGAACTGGAGGAGCTATCAAGGAGCCAAGATGGTGTGGGATGTGCTGGACATGGTTCCCTGAGCAGGTGCTTATTTGCAAGTCTGTTGCAGCTGGGCCCTCGGCATCTGCCAGATGCAAGCCCTGTGCCAGGTCTCCAATGATGTGGTTGTCCACCTGCCGGGTGCAGTCAATGCCAATAATGCCAAAGACCATGGCCCTGGTGTCCACAAGCAGCCACACCACTGGCTTTGCACAGCCTGTGTTCATGCAGGGTTGAAGCCGAAGGTGGCTGAGAGATGGGTCTTGGGCACTGGCAACAGGAAGGCAGAGCTGTAAGGGCAGGCAGGGCCCAGCTCCCTAGGTCTCTACCCATGTGCCCCTGCCATACCTTTCTCACTAGGTATGAAGAAGAAGCCTTTGGTTGGCCCGTCAGGGCTGGAGCTGAGCAGGCAGCCAGGGGGAGTCAAGCACACATGCCCATGGAAGGAGGGCTTGTGGGACTGGGTGAAGCACAGCTTCCTGTGGAGGCAATGGAGGCTGGGCTGAGGCCAGAAAAACCAGGAGGAGTCAGCAGAGTAGAGGCCAGTGGGCTGCAACAGAAGCTGGTGAATAGTAGAGTCTGGACTGGGCTCTACCCTTGTATGGGGATTTGTTCTCAAGGAAGTGCCCTGGGCCAAGGGTCTGGAGGCTGTTCTAGCTTCACCTCTGCCAAGGCTGATTGTGAGAACCTAGTCAAGGTCTTGCCCCTCTGGGCCTCAGTATCCCCATAGAAGGCATGAAGGGTGTAGAAGACCAAAAGCTTTCAAACTGTCCCCCAGGGGTATGAGGGTTCAGGAAGGACTCCAGGGACAACCCTAGTGGTCCCCACTCAGAAGCCCCCAGCCTCAACCCCAACAGTGAGGAAGTCTCTAGATTCTACAGGGAGGAAGGGCTGCAGGGTCAACAGCTGACTAACCACTGGACCCATTTCAGCTCAAAGTCCTTTCTAGAATATTTTCAGCTCATCTAGGCAGTTTGCCTGAACCCTGGTCACTGATGTGTCTGTGCAGAATGAGGCCAGCCTGGGGCTCAGGGAAGGACAGGCAGAGGGAACCCTACATTTGAGTCAGGATGCCAGGCTGGAAAGGACCCTCTGGGTGCTGTCCTGCCATTTTACAGCCTCCCAGCTGAATCCTCAGCCCCATGCAGAGTTTGGTTTCCTGTAGCTGCTTGATGCTCCAAAGCCAGCCCTGTCAGAGACTCTGGAAAAGACCCAGGAAGAGATGTCTTGTCAATTTCCAGCCTCTAAGCTGCATCCTCAGCCTCATGCAGAGTTCAGCCACCTGTAAAACAGCCTCCGGTGTTTGACACTCTAAAGCCAGCCCCATCAGAGCCCACAGTCCCTGCATGTCACCCAGCCCCATCAGAGGCCACAGTCCCCATGTCACCAAGCTCTGACAGAGCCCACAGTTCCTCTCACCCAGCCCCATCAGAGGCCACAGTCCCTGTGTCACTGAGTCCCATCAGAGACCACAGTCCCCATATCACCAAGTTCTGATGGAGCCCACAGTTCCTGTCACCCAGCCCCCTCAGAGGCCACAGTCCCCCTGTCACCCAGCTCCATTAGAGCCTACAGTTCCCACGTGTCTCCCAGCCGTGTCAGAGCCCACATTCCACGAGTGTCACCCAGCCACCTCAGAGGCTACAGTCCCTGCATGTCACCCAGCCCTCTCAGATGCCACAGTCCCTGTGTCACCAAGCATGGCCTCACACCTCTGTTCTCTACCACAATGACAGTGGGGCTATTTCTTTCAAAGCATGTATTATAGTTTATAATGAC